AACTTGTTCAGGACTCAGGAAGGCATCTTGCCTTCCAGGGAATTATTTTGTTTGTCACAGCCTGTGAGAAACAAGGTAACATAAGATATACTTAAATGAAGAAATCTGAGTATAGGGCAAGAAGAGGTTGTGATTAAGTTAAACTTGTCTATACTTCAAAGAGGAAGTTGAGCTAGGCATCAATTACTTTCAAAGTTAACTGTGGGCAGTGAGAACCACTATAGAGTGAAAAGCATAAAACAAGGTAGTCCCTAGGTCTGCAAGTAATATAGGCCACAAACATAGTATTTGAGGGTCACAAGCTATGCACCTTACTCCTCCCAAATCTAACTGTAGTAACCTAATAGAATCATCAAAAGTTCATGACAACCTCACAGAAATGAAATTGTTAAAGATCTTTTTTTTGTGATAATACAACTTTTTAAAAATTAAGGTAGAGAATAGAACCCTACTCCTACCACCACTTGCAAGCGCTTCCTACCATGATATATTTTGGCCTTTAACTTGAGCATGAGGCATAAACACTGGAAGGAGGTGAACAGCCAGCTCGGCCTGTAACAGGCTGCTGGTGCTGCGATGGCAGAGAAACACGTTAGGAGCCTGGGGGCTGCTGACAACGTTTTGCAGCAAAGCTACCTAATTGGTTCATATTTTTACTTAGGAAGGAGTTTTTAAATTTTATTTGAAAAAATTGGGAGGGGGAGGCCGTGGGGCACCTGAGTGGCACAGTCGGTTATGAGCCAGACCCGTGGTTTCAGCTCAGGTGGTGACGTTGGGGCCTTGAGCCAGAGCCCCACATCTGGCTCCAAGCTCCGCACGGAGTCCGCTTGGGATTCTCTTTCCCCCTCTGCCCTTCAGGCTTGTGTGTACCCTCTCTCTCTCTCTCAAAATAAATAAGTACATTTTTTTAAATTGAGGAGATGGCAATTATTTTTTAGTTATCACAGTTGCCAAACCTGTATCTTTACCAAGAAGTCAAAGGTGAGAGAAGTGGGGGCTTTGTCAACAATACAGTGGCATATAAAACGTCAAGAAAATGAAAAAGAGGGCTTAAGTCAGGCGGCGGCAATGAGCACAGAAAAATGAAAAGGAAAGCCGTTTTGGAGGCTGAAGCTACATATTATACAGTTGGGCAAATGGGAGAAGTAAGAGTTTGAAGTTATAAATCTGAGCCACTCAGAAGATACCTATACTGTTAATCGACATAGGAAACGTAAAAGATGGAGAGTTGCAGACAAATTGAGTGGATCCAACCGTCCCAAAGACTGTGAGAAACGAGTGTTAAGGGCTTACAAGAGCAGAACTTGACATAAAATTAGGGCTTATTTGCACAAAAGGTATAGTTTAAGTGGCAAGAACAAATGAGATCATTACAAAGGGAGAAGTCATAAAAAAGGGAAAATTAGTTTTTCGATTTCTGTCTTTAAAAAAAAAAGCTTAATATATAATACTTCAGACATTTTCTCTTTAAGTGAAATAATCTGAATGTCCCACATGTTTATCTCACAAGAATTTTCTGTAGTTAACGGACACTCTCATGACTCAGGCATTCAATCAATTTCATTGATTAACAGAAGACCACAAACGGCCGATGGTAATTTTGGTCTTCATACAGTTTTAAATCATTTTTTGTCTTTAGTCATATTATTTAATTTATTCCTATGATGAACTGTATTTGTTAAAGACTGGAAAAGTGATGGCAAAATGCACTAATTAATGAGGAATACAGAAATATTTCTATTAATTTCAAAATGTTCCCCCAAAGTAACATTTATATGATCAAAATTACTACAAAGCAAAGCAAGGTGAGGAGGTATTTCTAGCACCTCAAAAATAATTTTAAAAAAGGGAATGTTTATTTTTTTTTAAATATTTTATTTATTTATGCATGAGAGACATATATATAGAGAGAGGCAGAGACACAGGCAGAGGGAGAAGCAGGCTCCATGCACCGGAAGCCCGACGTGGGACTCGATCCCGGGTCTCCAGGATCGCGCCCTGGGCCAAAGGCAGGCGCCAAACCGCTGTGCCACCCAGGGATCCCAAAGGGAATGATTACTATACACAAATTTGGTTTTTCAGTTCATGAGGTGGGAAAAACCTATCAACTATTAAATGTGTTTTTTAATTAAAAAATGCTTCATTAAAATCTTCACTAATAAAATCATTTAGAGTCTTAAAATATCAGATAAAGAACTGCAAGTAAGATGAGAGCATTTTTTATTTTTTATGAAGGTAAATAGATTTTAATTGACATTCGGCCACAAAATACCACATTCAATTCAAAGGTGTCATCAAATTTTTTTCTAATTTTAAACAGCATACATCAATTGATAAGGGGGGAAAAAATCTAAACTTCTGTATTATTATGAGACTGCAATGAAAAATAATCCTTAACAGACCAATGTTAAATCATTTTTATTTAGTCACTTAACATTGTTCATGCAAAAGTAATATTTAAATATTCTGTAAGGATCTTCAGATTATACATTATGAAATCTAGAGAACAGTATTTTTCAAAGGAAAAAATCTCGGGTTTACCTAGCCTATTATTTAAGTATTAGTTATTTAAAATTACAGAAGATATTTATGCAATATAGTAAACTTAAAGTTGCAGTATTTTGACTTTAAGCAGGGTTAAAAAGAAACTAGAAGAGTGATAAATTTTTCTTTAGAAGAGATGCAAGGCATTGACAAGGTTGGTATTCATTTACTGAAACTGTATGCTTTCAAGGAAAACATGGCAAATACAGCATTATTACTTAAGGGTTCACCTTCATTATCGAAGTTTTTCTGTATGATGATTTCATAAAAAGACCTTACCCAAAAAAGGGGGGGGGGATTATGAACCTATCTAGAACATTACGTGTATGTAGAAACTGGAAGCAACAAATAAAACTTGGTGCAAAGGAAATGAAAGTATAGGTTTCTAGAAAGCAGGTTTCAAAAAATTCTTTTTCAGTTTGGCGAGAAAGAAATGAGATCCACACCTTCCAATCACTGCGTCATTTTATTTATTCGTTCAACAGCTGCACTTTCAAACATATGCCAAGCATCGTTACAGGAGAATGCTACACACAAGTTTTGAGCTATAATGTGCTTTCTTAGCCAAAGACCTCCTTTACGAAGGTCATAGACAATGACCAATCAACTTCGCCAATCAACTCAACGCTGAGTTATATTGATACTTAACTCTTGCAACTTAGGCTTCTAAGGCTCAATGATTCAAAAGGCAAATTTTAAAAAGAAAATTAAATTTGTAATCGTTCGATTCCTGCTGTTTCTCTGACACTCCTGCCACAGAACACATGGTCCTCCGGACCAGGGTGAGCCGTCGGTTAACAACCTGGATAGCTGAAAACTCAACTCGAGGCAAGCATCTTTATCTGTGCTTTCGTCCAAAGCGTACCAAAAATCCTAATCACAAAATGTCGGCCTTTTATCTGTTGGGTTTTCAGATCCGATACAATCTCCTACCAAATGAAAGAATGCGTGCCGTCCTCCTTCGATATAAAGTCAAAAATAAATAAATAATAAAATAATAAAAATAAAATAAAATTTAAAAAATAATAAAAAAACTAAACTAAAATAAAATAACAAATAAAATAAATAAAATAAAATAAAAATAAAAAATAAAATAAAAAATAAAAATCAAATAAATAAAATAAATAAAATAAAATGATAGAAATTAAAAATTAAAAATAAATAAAATAAAAAAATAAATAAAATTAAAATGAAATTAAAATAAAAATAAAATAAAAATCTAAAAATAAAAATAAAAAATAAAATAAAAATAAAAAATAGTAAACATAAAAAGTATAAAATAAGTAATATAAAAATTAAAAATAAAAATTTAAAAATACAAAATAAAAATAAGTAAAGACAAGATAATAAAATAAATTAAAAATAAATAAAATAAAAATTAAATTAAAAATAAATATAAAAATAAAATAAAATAAAAAATTCAAAAAACCAAGATAATAAATGAAATAATAAAAATAAAATAAAAATAAAAAAAATAATAAAACACAAACCCGAGGAGGAAGAAGAGGAGGTAATTCCTTCCTCCCTCCATCCCAGAGAGAGCTCAGGACAACTTTCCCTCACAAGCGCCTCCCCTGGGCCCCGAGGAAGCCACCGAGCAAGTCGGGACGGACACAGAAACTTCTCCATCTTCCACAGGTCGTCACCAGGGAAACAAACGCTTCTGCCAAGGTCCGTCCTCCCCTGCACCGTTTCTGCAGACACCACCGCTTGGGAGAACGGGGGGGGGGGGGGGGGGGCGGGGGACGGGTAGAGACCACCGCCCGCACGCACGCGCGCTCCCCGCGCAGAGCCAGTCCCCGCGCTCACCAGGTGCTCGGCTGGGCGGGGAGCCAGCCCTGCAGCCGCCTGCCCGTCGCCCACGGCGGCCAACGACGGTCCCGTGCGACCCGAGGCCGCGGCGACGCACCCCCCGCCGCCCGCTGCATCGACAGCCGCCACCTTGCCCCCTTCCGCATCCGGCGGTCCACCTGACCGCCTCCCCAGCGGGGCTGCCGCCCGACGTCCCGAGGCCGAGTTCCGGGGCGTCGGTCAGAGCCCCCACCGAGCCCTCACACCCCGGACGAACCGAAACCACCGGGGGTCCTCCTCCCCGCCATCCATCACCCTCTCTAGCCAGGGCCGACTCAGCCCAAGAAAACCTCCCGCGCCGGGGAAGCGAGAAGGCACCAGGTGCAGGCGTGTGTCCCCGCCCCCGCTCCCGCCCCCGCCCCCCGCAGGACCCCTCCGCGCGGGGAGCCCCCTGCGCTGGGTCCCACCGCCGAGAACCTCGGTCCCGGCCACACACAAGATGGCAGCGCAACACCTACCAGAGGAAACAGCGGCGCCACCACTCCAGCGCTGCCGGCCTCTGACGACTGCGAGGATCCCCATTGGCCCGGCCAGAGAGCGCGAGACTAGGCGAGAGCGCCGCCAGCCAATCGGGAGGCGGCGCGCCGATGCGGCGCCGCCGCGCTGCCGGCGCGACGCGCGCGGAGCCTCTGAGGCGTGGACCCGGTGAGGCGTCCAACCAATGGGCTCCCGGCCAAGTAGTGGGATCGGCGGGCGTCCGGCTGCTGTCCCCCGCGGGATTGGCGTGAGGTAGGCCTGGACGGGGGAGCCGGGGCCGGCTCTAGGCAAATGCTGAGGGGCTTCCCGGCCGGGGGGCGGGGCGTCTGCGGCCGTGAGGTCCCGTGGCGTGGAGTCGGAGAGGAGCCCGACCCGCCGGGGCGGGGGGAAGGGGGGACCCAGCCTCGCTGACGGAGCGGGGTAGGCGGGCGGCGTGGGAAGAGCCGTGGTGCGGCCGCCTGACGCTTCCTCGCGCCCTGGGCCGCGCGGACCCCAGCGCTTCACGCCCCCCTTCCCTGTGACGCACCTGCAGCCCCAGGTTGCTGTAGGAGGGCCCGCGAGCGTCCCGAGGTCCCAGCCCCGCCTCCCACTTCCGGTGTCGGGGGGGGGGTGGGAGGGGAGGGGGCGCGTCCACGTAACGTGAGGGGATGATTTCCTCAGCAGCCGGGAACCCGAGGCTGTCAAAGGAGCTGCGGGAAGGGGACTGCGGCGTAGCAATCCCGAAGCACAACTGGGAGGTGTGGCCGCCGACCCGTGTCCCAGGTAAGACTTCCCACGAGCCCTAAGTAAAGTAAAAAAACGTTTGTCCCGAGGTGGCGGAGCCGGGAGGCGACCGTGAGCGCACCGGACCCCCGTGGACCGCGGCCCGGTCCGGGTGTAGGGAGCTGTGCTCTGAGGTAAGTGCACACCCGCCGGGAGGGGGGGGGGTTTGAAAAGATGGGTTTTTGGTTTTGATGTCTTTTTTTTTTTTTTTTTTTTATGATAGTCACAGAGAGAGAGAGAGAGAGGCAGAGGGAGAAGCAGGCTCCATGCACCGGGAGCCTGATGTGGGATTCGATCCCGGGTCTCCAGGATCGTGCCCTGGGCCAAAGGCAGGCGCCAAACCGCTGCGCCACCCAGGGATCCCGGGTTTTTGGTTTTGTTTTGTTTTTGTGTGTGTGTGTGTGTTTAGATTAAAGACGGGGTGTCCCTGAAATCATCCTGCCTGGTTCCTTCCTGATTTTTTTTTTTTTTTTTTTGGTCACTGGCACTTAACGGTTTGACACCCCCGCCCCCCGCCCCGGAGCTTCCTCCTCAGAAAAACTGGCATACTAATATCCTCTCATGATTGCCACACGGATTGGTAAGAACGGGCCGGTTCGGGTTCCGAACCGGCCGGAGCGGGCCAGACACGTGGTGGGTACTGCGGAAACGTTCGTTGCTCTCAGCGCGTCGGGCTCCCCGCATGGAGCCCGCTTCTCCCTCTGCCTGTGTCTCTGCCTCTCTCTCTCTCTCTCTCTCTCTCTCTCTCTCTCTCTCTCTGTGTGTGTGTGTCTCTCAGGAATAAATAAAATCTTAAAAAAACAAGAACATGAGAAGTAAGCGATGGTCAGTCTCAAAAAGTGCCAGTTTTCCAAAGAACGAAAGAGACTGTAAATGGAAGCTCCACACACACCAGCTGCTCTTCTCCAAGATGAAAAAGTGTGGGGGTTTGGGGAGTTGAGGGCGGGGGAGGGTGGGTAGGTGGGTGGGATAGGAACAAATTGAAAAAATGCTGTTTCATTCCAAAATATTAAGCCCGTTGTCTCTGGATGGATGATGAGGCTATGAGCGGTGTAACTTTTCTTACTTAGGCTTGGCTGTTATTTTGCAGAGTGTCTTCAGTAAACGTGGGGTACCGTTCCCTTACTTATAAAGTTTCGGAAGATAGGAATAACCCCTGTGAGCGTTTTCTTTAAAAAGTGATTAGTATAGACTGGCCTGCTGTAGGTGGAAATACGCATTGGTAGAATCTTTCTAGAAAAGCACTTTGGGGGTGTGCTCCAAAAGCCTTCAAAATGGTCAATGCTTTTTTTTTTTTTTTTTTTTAATTATACACTTAAGTCTTAAACTAAGTGCACTATTACATTCCCTTTTTACACACTTAGAACCCTGCAGATAGGGGACCCCTGGGTGGCTCGGCGGTTTGGCGCCTGCCTTCAGCCCAGGGTGTGACTCCGGGGTCCTAGGATCGAGTCCCGCATGGGGCTCCCTGCATGGAGTCTGCTTCTCCCTCTGCCTGTGTCTCTGCCTCTCTCTGTGTGTCTCTTGTGAATAAATAAATTAAAAAAAAAAAAGAACCCTGCAGATACCACGCACAATTCACAGTCCCTGAGTCCCCCCCTTGTTCCCCCAAACCCACACTAAAGATCTTGATGCAGAACCTTTAAATCTTTTTTTTATTTTTATTTTTAAAGATTTTATTTATTTATTCATGATAGTCACACAGAGACAGAGAGGCAGAGACACAGGCAGAGGGAGAAGCAGGCTCCATGCACCGGGAGCCCGACGTGGGACTCGATCCCGGGTCTCCAGGATCGCGCCCCGGGCCAAAGGCAGGCGCCAAACCGCTGCGCCACCCAGGGATCCCCTTTTTTTTTTTTTTTTTTTACACTTACATATTCTCAGTGGGTTCATATATGCATTTGTAATTTTTAAAAATGGTGACCAGGGGAATCTCTGGGTGGCTCAGCAGTTTAGCACCTGCCTTTGGCCCAGGGCACGATCCTGGAGTCCCAGGATCGAGTCCCACATCAGGCTCCCTGCATGGAGCCTCCTTCTCTCTCTCTCTCTCTCTCTCTCTCTCTGTCTCTCATGAATAAATAAATAAATAATCTTAAAAAAAATGGTGACCAGTATCATACTGTATAATTTTCTAATTTGTTTGACAGTGTTTTTGAAGTATATACAAGTTATTTATAGCTGCATATGTATTTATGGCTCTTTTTTTTTATATATATACCTGCTGGATAGTGTTCCAGTGTATGGCTGAGTTCTGCTAATGTAAAACATTTATTTTTGTCTCTTTTATTGGTTTTATATTAAATTCTATCTTGTTTGATAGGTACTATATACTGCATTTTATTTGCGATTCTCTTTTTGACGGACGTTGGTTGTTCCCAGTTTTTCAACTTCTAGACAATGCTGCAGGGAAATCCTGGTATGTATTGTATTGTGCACATGTGCGATTCTCAGGGATAGATACCAGAAAGTGGGATAGTTTGGTTTTAAGTTATGAACATTATTTTTTTTTTAAATTTATTTACTTGAGAGAAATAGCACAAGCAGATGAGGCAGGATGAGGGAGAGAGAATCTCAAGCTGACTCCTGAGCACAGAGCCTGACAAGGAGCTTGATCTCACAGCCCCAGCCTAACTTTTGTTTAGACTTTTTTTTTATGCTTTTGCCTTTAATTGGGATTTCTACCACTTGAGCCTCTCTGATATTAAGTCAGTAATTTCAATTTGAAATTCATGTGAATTGTTCTGTAAAGTGTTTACAGATGAAGTGTTACAGCTTCACGCCCTGAGCTAATGGCAGACGTTCAACCACTGAGCCCCCCAGGCGCCCCTCCATTTCTCTTTTTAATTGAGGTTTGCCACAAGTTTTCTTTGTTCTCCATATTTTAAAAAATATAATACTTTTGCATTTCAATTTGAAATTCATGTTAATTGTCTATAAAGTGTTTCTCTTTGCTTTTTCTATTGGTTTTCATATAAAATTCTATTTTGTTTGATATGACTTTCTGTTTGCTGGTATGTCTTTTTCACGTACTGTAATTTCAACCTTTTGATAACATTTTGTGTGATTTAAGTGGGTATTTTACATTAAAATGTCATAGCTAGATTTTGCTTGCAATCCAGTTTTGAGAGTCCTTTACGAAGTTAGATTAACACATTCACCATTTTGTGATTATTAACAGTGTGGCCTTTTGTCCTCTTATTTACTGTGCTTTTCTCTTGTATCTTTTATTTTTCCATTTCTCTCTCTCTCTCTCTTTTTTTTTTAAGATTTCATTTATTCATGAGAGACACAGAGAGAGAGAGAGAGACAGAGACACAGGCAGAGGGAGAAGCAGGCTCCGTGCAGGGAGCCCCGATGAAGGACTCAATCTCAGGATTCCGGGATCACGCCCTGAGCTGAAGGCAGACGTTCAACCACTGAGCCCCCCCCCCAGGCGCCCCTCCATTTCTCTTTTTAATTGAGGTTGGCCCCAAGTTTTCTTTGTTCTCCATATTTTAAAAAATGTAATACCTTTGCATTTTCAACGTAGTTCTTAAATTTGTTTTCTTAACAATCTAAATTTAGTGTTGATATCCTCCCTATGAAGAACTTGACCTGCTTCTACTTAACTTATACCAATCTAGCAATAATCCCCTTCCATTTCCCTTCTATAATTTCCCACACTTCTTTGTATTATTTTTGTTCATTTGTTATTAAAACCCATTTTTAATCCGTCTTTAGCATTAATGTGTTTTAGTCATTTTCTCATTTTTGCTTCTTATATCTGAGTACTTCTGTGTGTGTTAGTTTTTTTCACAAAATTTTGGGTACTTTCTTCTTTCAGAGAGTCTCTAATTGGCTTTTTGAATGTCTCAAAGTCTCTTCCCTTCCACTATTGAAAGATAGCTCGGCTGAAATGGCATTCTGGGGTCAGACTTACTTTTTGCCTTAACTTGCTGCATCTGGTATTTCTGATGAGAAGTCTGATTACCAGTCCGATATGTGTTTATTTTAGATAATCTAGATTTTCTGGAAGCTTCTAAGACTTCGTGTTTTTTATATTTTAAAGCTTATACACAATTTGTCTAGTAGCATGTATTTTTATCTTGCTTGGTACTCAGTGACCCTTAATTGGTTTATGTGTTTTACAGTTTTGAGAAATTCTTGGTATTTATTGCCTCTTTTTCATTCTATTTTCTTCTTATTTCTTTCTTCTGTGTTCTAATGAATTACTCAGCTCAGCCTTCTAGCTTACTGCTGGCTCTTCATCTGAGTTTATGCCATTCATTAATTCAGTCATCTATTGTTTATTTAACAACTATTTTTATATCCAAGATGCCCTAATGATTGTTTTTCAAAATCATGTTATTGTATGGATGTTTCCTTCTTTAGCTCTTTGAGGATATTAAATACAATAACATTTGTTTTAAAATTATTTTCAGGATGTTCTGTTCTGTTGACTGTAAGTCCATCCTTTGGTGGGTTTGCTTAAGTCTCTTATGGTGTAGCTTTCCTCAGATATTTAATGACTTTGAGTTGTGTGCTCATCTTCTGTGAGAAAATTTGCTCTTCCTTTTGCTGTGTTCTGATCGTGGTTGGCATTATGTCTTCAGCTTCCCATCTGTGTCCTTTCCCTAGAGAGGTCTCACAGCTTGGTCCATAGAGAGTTCCCTTTTTGTTTTTAACATGACTATATTTTTTAATTAAAAAAAATCTTCTAATGTTTCTGTGGTTTGGTGTGGGATTGGGAGAAGAATTTATCATACGTTGGCTAACATCTTGAGACTGAGAATTCTTGATCTTTTTGACGTATAGTTCCACCTCCAAGTGTATATCTTACGGAAATAATCAGACATATGCATAAAATATATTCCAGCATTATTCATTATATTGAAAAAAATAGAGATAATCTAAATGTCCAATATAGAGGTTTATTTACAGTACTAATTAATAATTTATGAAAATTTAATTAAGATTCTTTGGTGTACTTTAATACATGGATTGATTATTGAACAAAGTACATTATAACAGCCACTTAAAAGTCTTATTACAGAAAAATATTAATGAGGGTGGAAAGTGCAAGATACGTTATCAATAAAAGATTATTAAAAAATTGTGTACACTAAAATCCAAATTTCATTTTAAAGTATATATACTGAGGGCAACCCTGGTGGCTTAGTGGTTTAGCCCCGCTTGAAGCCCGGGGTGTGATCCTGGAGACCCGGGATCGAGTCCCACGTCGTTCTCCCTGTGTGGAGCCTGCTTCTCCCTCTGCCTGTGTCTCTGCCCCTCTCTCTCTCTCTCTCTCTCTCTCTCTGTGTCTCTGTGAATAAATAAATAAAATCTTTAAAAAAAATAAAAGTATATATACTGAAAGTACTATAATAATTGCTAATATTTATGGAGTCTTGTATGTGCCAGCCACTGTTCTAAGTAATTAAATCTTCACAACAACCCTTTGAGGTAGTTAGTGTTACCATCCCCATTGTAAAAGTTGTTGTAAAGTATTTATAAAAAATAAAAAAAGCTTAAAAATATTTATAAAATGGGGATAGTTTATGTGAATTAATATTTTAAATATGGATGATTCTTAATTTCTCTGTAGCTTTGTAATTTTGATATTTTACACATTTTTCCATTTAATATGTATTCTTGTTTCTATAACAGTGTATGTTATTTTAAAAGATAAAACTGTTAAAATAATCTTTTTTTCTTATGTATTTTACTCTTTGCATATACGTACCAATCTTTATTGTTTTCTTTACAGAATGTTTCATGCATCCATGGACCAAAAGATGGAGTTGGTTTTTATTTTTAAAAAGATATTATCAATGATCTGAAGTTGCATGGACTTGGCATCAGATGGGACTAGTGGTCATTTTTTAAAGTTTCTTCAACCACAATTACTATTTGAAAATTCAAGCGTCCAAGAATATTGGGTTTAGAATTGGCATAATGATGTATTTTCTCTGAGGACTGCAAATTTCATAGAGACCATAGTTGGATGCCAGTTGGATTCCAATTCTTCAATCAAAGTGATTCAGTCCTTTGAAAGTTAATTTTGAAGAGTTTTATGTTTATGGACGACGCCAAAAGATGGGAGAAAAAAATGGTAAGTTTGGAAACCATTGTTAAACATTATATTTTAAAGTGTATAGACTACTTAATGAAGCTGAATTGTGGAGCTTCCAAGGTTTTTCGCTGCAAGTGACTGTTACACATTTGAAGGAATTTAGGATTTATTCTCATGTAGTCAATAATTTTGAGTCTTTATAATTAATTGTATATATAAACCTAAGTTCTTTAATGTACTTTTTTACTTTTTACAAAATACACTTTATTCTTTTAGAAAACCTTTAGATTCACTTTTTAAAGAAAAGTTGACAGTACAGAAAATTCCCCTATCTTCTACATCCAATTTTACTTATGATTAACATCTTACATTTGGCTGGTACATTTTTTGCAATTCATGAACCATAATATGCATAATTAAAGTGCATAATTTATTCATATTTTTGTAGTTCGTACCTGATGTCTTTTTCTGTTCTAGGATGTCACATTATATTTATTTGTCATGTCTCCATAGAGTTCTCTTGGATATAATAGTTTCTCAGACTCGTGTTTTATTTTGTAGTATTTTGTAGGATGCCCCTCTTATTGGAATTATTAATTGATTTTTTTTTTCTCATGATTAGAGCAAGGTTATAGGTTTTTGGGAAGAAGACCATAGAGGTAATCACATCAAAGGTTTTTGTTATCAACATAACATTTCTCTCTTGTGGATATTGAGCTTGATCATCTGGCTGACATAGTGTTATGTGATTTCTCCACTGTAAATTACATTTTTCTCTCCTTTTCCCTACAGTACTTTTTGATAGGAAATCCCTGTATGCAGCTCATGTTATTGTTTTTTGAGAACAGAATATCTACATTAATTATTTGGAATTCTTTTACAAGGGAACATAACTCCTTTCTCCCAGTTATGTATTTATTCAATCATTTATTTATTTCAGTATGGAGTTATGCGTAATTATGTTACTCTATCCAGTACTGTTTTGTTACTCAAATCGTCCCAGTATTGGCTGTTAGGAGCTCTTTCAGTTGGGTCTGTGTCCCTTTGACATACTCGTATCAATGTGTTTTTGTTTGTTTTTTTTTTTCTTTTTTAGCACTTCCTCATTTTCTGGTCCTGTAGGATGCTGCAGGTGTCTCTTGTATAATTCCTGCCCCAGTTCTAGAGTCAGCCATTTCTCTTTTTTTTTTTTTAATTTTTTTATTTATTTATGGTAGTCACACAGAGAGAGAGAGAGAGAGAGAGGCAGAGACATAGGCAGAGGGAGAAGCAGGCTCCATGCACCGGGAGCCTGATGTGGGATTCGATCCCGGGTCTCCAGGATCGCGCCCTGGGCCAAAGGCAGGCGCTAAACCCCTGCGCCACCCAGGGATCCCATAGAGTCAGCCATTTCTTGAATGAGCTCTGGTTCCTTTTAATGAAGGATGGTGTCAGAAACCAAGATCTGGGCGATAGTTGTTACTGGGCTGTCCTTGCTTATAGGCCCTTTCGGCTGACAGAGCAAGGAAGTGTATGTGTATGCTAACCTGTATATACACATATCTATAAATGTCTCTATACGTAACCATCAGTATCTATATTAAGCTAAACATGAGTTTATTCTGATGTTCCCAACTCTAATCCATTACACATCTCTCCCAACAGTGAGAAAAGTGGCTGCCACCATCTGTTATCCATTTAGTTACTCGATTCCTGTGTGTGTGTGTGTGTGTGTGTGTGTGTGTGTAGCCATATCAGAAATGTAAACTTATTCCCAGATAGGAAACTACAGTGCTTATGCACAGTTCCTTTTGCCTTTAGTCTTAAAGACTGCACTTATTTCCAAAGTTATTTAGGTTAGCATCTTTTCTACCTAGCCCTTCAGTGAGGTTGTGTATACAGTCGTAATACAGTTAGATGTTTTTATTGTGGTCAGCACTCCTTCCTTGGATCTGACCTCTTAAAGATATTTTAAAATTTCACTACCCTTTAACACACTTGTAATATACAGATTGTTACACAGATCATACTGTTGATCTAGTAGTCACTGGACTATTCATCTAGGCCAGTAGTTCTCAAACTTCATTTTGGTCTCAGGACTATTTTATACTTAAAAAAGTATACTTTAAAAGTACTTAAAATTTAAAAGTACTTAAAATCCCTGCCAGTTTTAGTTTATGTGGATAATATCTCTTCATATTTACTGTATTAGAAACTGGGGCTCCTGGGTGGCTCAGTTAAGCATCTACCTTTGGCTCAGGTTGTGATCCTGGGGTCCTGGGATCAAATCCCACATTGGGCTTCCTGCTCAGTGGGCAGTCTGCTTCTCCCTCACCCTCTGCCCCTCCACTTGCTCTCTTTCTCACTCAGGCTTGCTCACTCTCAAATGAAGTCTTTAAAAATAGGAATTGAAATTGAGAAGCTTCACAAATGTTAATGGACTCATTTAAAAAATAATAATAAACGCAGCATGTTAACAATTTACATTTTTGTGAGAAGTAACTATTCTAAAAAAATTAGAAAAACATTGTTTTACACCTTTATAAATCTCTTTTATAGTTAGTTTAATAGAAGGAGTCTCATATCTGCTTTTGCATTCAATCTGTTATGATACGTTGTTTTGGTTGAAATGTATGAAGAAAATGAAGCTTCACACATACAAAAAGTTGGGAAAAAATATCTTAATAGCCTTTCAGATAATTGTGGACTTTTTTTTTTTATGCAACTACACAACTCAACAAGTAGTTACTTCTTCAGGGTCAATTGTAGTGTGAAATCTGAACGCATATCTGTGAGTTTTATTATACTCTTACATTAAGGTCCATTGGACCTTCTTGCACATTGAATAGATCTTTTATGATTTTATAATATCATGCATTAGACACTTGGAAAATAATTGGATCAGTAAATTATGCAGATTTTCCAGATGTTGACACATTTCATCATTTAATATTTAAAAATCACATTTGTTAATATTGCTACCAATATCATCAAAAAGTGATTAATTATAGAGAAGCTATGAGGCTTACTGTGGTATATGCAAGGTTTACAAATTTCCAGTTTTAACTTGGTAATGTAAATTTTATCATTAGCAACAAATGCTGTCGATACTGAACTTCAGATGGTAGGTTCACTTGGTGCTTTTCAAAATCTTCCCATCTAGATATCCACCTCAAATAAAGATAAATCCCTAGTATGGAACATTGATTCAAGAAACATGTTAACAACCATTTAAGTGCTTTTATAAATAGTTTTATCTAAAACCAGTGATTTTTGTTCATTACCTGTCAGTGAAAAACTTAATGATTTTAAGGATTCTGGAAGGTCCTTCAAAAAATACTTGCCCACTTAGCTGAATGATATCTAAAATTCCACAATTAGAAATTAATTTCTTTCACTAAAGACTGTATTCCCTGTTTAATTGTATATGGTAAATTTTACTTTTACATCTTTAAAATTTGTATTTAGTATGTACTGTGTGTGTATATATATGTACGTATACATATATACTACATATATATTTACTCTATGTAGTAATTTTTTCCTAAAAGCCACATGCTTATCCACACATCCAACTCCATGAGGTAGATGTTATTATTCCCATTTCATAGATATGGTCCAACAGCTTAACGACTGGCAGTGCTGGGATTCAAACACAAATGCATCTGAACTCCAAAGTCTAGGTTGTTAATCACCACTTCTGTTTTTGTGTTGACTCCTGGTTTTCATTCTTTTTTTTTTTAATATTTTTATTTATTAATGAGAATACACAGAGAAGAGAGAGAGAGAGAGGCAGAGACACAGGCAGAGGGAGAAGCAGGCTCCGTGCAGGGAGCCCGACGCAGGACTTGATCCCAGGTCTCCAGGATCACGCCCTGGGCTGAAGGTGGCGCTAAACCGCTGAGCCACCTGGGCTACCCTCCTGGTTTTCTTTCCACCTGTTTGCTCCTTCTTGGTTTCCATGATTCTCTTTTCTTACATTCATTGCTTGTATATCGGAGACCCTCTTCTCATTGTATACATTCTCCCTAATCACATCTACTCTGTGATTTCAGCAAGCATTTGTGTGCCATTGACTCCAAAATCCATGTAATTGGACCAGATATTACTCTGGAGCTTGTGTACTTAACACTACTTAAATTTCTCACTTGTCCCATCTTTATACCTTATCTCTATGAGTACCATTACTATGCCCAAGTCAGAAACTTAATAACCTTTCTAAACTAACCACATCAGAAGATGCTTAAACTTTTTGAGTGGATCCCATAGTCTTTCATTTAAAAAGAGAGTTGCTCTCTTCTGCTGAGTGAAATAAGTCAATTGGAGAAAGACAAATGCATGGTTTCACTCATATGAGGAATATAAGAAATAGTGGAAGTGACTATATGGGAAGGGACGGAAACTGGGGAAAACTTAGAGAGGAAGACAAAGGGTTGCAGAAGAGGAGGGTATGGCGGTTGGAGTAACTGGGTGATGGGCACCGAGGAGGGCACCTGATGGGATGAGCACTGGGTGTTATACTATATGTTGGCAGATTGAACTTAAGTAAAATACTAAAAATAAAACTTAAAAATGGAGTTGCTTAGCATGGCATGAAAAGCTCTCCATGTCATGGTCCCTCTACTTTTTTTTTTTTTAAGATTTTATTCATTTATTCATGAAAGACACAGAGAGAGGCAGAGACACAGGCAGAGGGAGAAGCAGGCTCCATGCAGGGAGCCCAATGTGGGACTCGATCCCCGGACTCCAGGATCACTCCCTGAGCCGAAGGCAGACGCTCAACTGCTGAGCCACCCAGGTGTCCCGGTCCCTCTACTTCTGAAGCATCATTCCTCATCCCTTTTGTCCTCTTACATTGTGCTTATTTCAGACCTTGAAACCTTGTCTGAGATGTGCTATGGGGAGTTTAAAAGTAGGCTTGGTCTCATGTAGGCATCAAGCCAAGGTGTCAACAGGGAACCAATACCCCTTCTGAGGCTACTGTGGCGGCATCATCCCTAATTAGTGAGAGATCCCCTTTGGGTAAGGTGACTTTGTCAGGGAGACTTGGAACTATACCCAAGCCTTTTATGAAGATTCTCACCTTGCTGCCAAACTTAAGAGGTTCAGGGTTTAATTTTTATTAAGAAAAATGTATGTTTTTGTAAACTTACTAGGCTCTCTGCTTATTAATTGTCCCAGTGGCTTCTCAAGTGATCTTTCTGGAGTACAATAGTTGTTATGTCCCTCTTTTGTTTAAAGCTCTATTCATTAGTTTTGAACATCTTATGTATTTTAACACTTTAACATATAAATGAATTTTAACATTTTAGGTATTTTTGTTACTTTTAAACATGGTAGAAATGTGAGATTTGCTTTTTCTAGTTTAATTGTCTTTCTCATATTTCTGTTTTCAACTTTGAAAGAATTATTTCCTCCAGGAAAATTTTTTTAAGTAAACTCTACCCCCAGCATGCAGGTTGAACTCAAGAGTTGCATGCTCTGCTGACTCAGCCAGCAAGGCACTTATCTTTAGGAATTTTTGATGAAGGTGTTCACTTGCTGAGCATCTGAAATAATTGCCTCATCTATATAGCTACCTATAAAAAGTTTGAACATTATTTTGCTTCATATAATTATTTTAAGAATATAAAAGATTTTTAGAAACATTGTTGGACATACACAGCAATTGTTGAGATGTTTCTTTTTTTTTTTTTTTTAAGATTTTATTTATTTACTCATGACAAACACAGAGAGAGGCATCGACACAGGAAAAGGGAGAAGTGGGCTCCCTGCAGGGAGCCCAATGTGGGACTCGATCCCAGGACCTTGGGATCAAGCCCTGAGCTGAAGGCAAATGCTCAGCCACTGAGCCACCAGGCGTCCCTATTGAGATGTTTCATTCTATAACTGTCCACTTCCATATTCAGTGGAAATTATATCCCTGAAACTTTTAAAATACTTATGTGTTTATATTATGTCTACCGCCACCTTAGAATGAAGCTGTTCCTTCTGTTTTCCAGGGACACCAGAAGTAGTATCACTGAAATTTTTAACGTATTTTTGTTGGCAGAAATAAGTGAAATACTTAGGTCATATTCTTTGTTTATAGTTCTTATAAGGAAATAATGATCAAAATTTTTTTCCCTTAAGGTAAATGAAGACCAATTAAATTTTGATATTACTTAGAAACCAAGTGGATTCTATGTAACATGTGCCTTAGGGAAATTATAGTCCATTTCTATTGAGCACTCAAGCTATTCACTTATTTTTATTTTAGGTGATGCAAAAACTTTCTGGATGGAACTGGAAGATGATGGAAAAGTGGACTTCATATTTGAACAAGTGCAAAATGTGCTGCATTCACTGAAACAAAAGATAAAAGATGGGTCTGCCACAAATAAAGGTATGGAGTACAAAAAACATTAAATACATTTAATGCTAAATATTAACCAATGGCAATATAGTACAATTCTATTTCCAGTATTTTTCATTTTAAAAGTAAAAATTTTTTTTTGTTTTCTAAGAGCCTACCATGCATTCTGTTTCCTTTGTGTTTGTGCCCTGCTTCTGTAAACACTTGATTTTACCATATATCATAGACACTTAGTAAAAATGGGTAAAGATGATTACTTTGAATAACAGCTGCTGTGAATTTATCTCTTTTTCTCTCAGGCTACTTTGCTGTCCATGTTTTCTTTTTCTCTAATTCTTTTTGAGGCAGGGTGGGCATTGCAGAAGTAGTATCTGCTCATTGTACAACGTTTAGTACATATAGAGTGAAGTAAGTCAATCGGAGAAGGACAAACAGTGTATGTTCTCATTCATTTGGGGAATATGAATAATAGTGAAGGGGAATATAAGGGAAGGGAGAAGAAATGTGTGGGAGATATCAGAAAGGGAGACAGAACATAAAGACTTCTAACTCTGGGAAATGAACTAGGGGTGGTGGAAGGGGAGGAGGGCGGGGGGTGGGGGTGAATGGGTGACGGGCACGGAGGGGGACACTTGTCGGGATGAGCACTGGGTGTTATTCTGTATGTTGGTAAATTGAACACCAATAAAAATTAATTTATTAAAGAAAAAGAAAAATATGACAAATTACCCATCACTGCATCACTCAGACACCTAGTGTCTTTTAAAATATGAAAGCACATTTGACTATATTTTGCCTGCTTTAAACAGAATTTGCCTTACTAGTCTTCTGAAAGCAGAACTGCACTCTACATAGACAGCTAGTTCAGTCAGCCAAATTTTTATTTTTCCTGTCTCTTAGTTTTCAACCCTGGTTGGAGAGCCTTAGACTTTTATGTAGAAATCTCCTTCTTTGCTTCAGGATGTAAGATTTTCAAACAAATTGTCTTTTAGACCATTCTTAATATTTTTTGGATATTCTTATAGACATTAATATTTTGTTTGCTTGTCCAAAAATAGTATTGTTTTTCATTTTGTTTTATTTTATTATTTTTTATTTACTTATTCATGAGAGACACAGAGAAAGAGGCAGAGACACAGCAGAGGGAGACGCAGGCTCCCTGCAGGGAGCCTGAGGTGGGACTCGAACCCGGGACTTCTGATCAATGCCCTGGGCCGAAGGCAGGCACTCAACCCCTGAGCCACCGGGGCATCCCATTGTTTTTCATTTTAATATTCTTTTTCATTCCTTTCAGGAGTCAGATCTAGTTTTGAATCCAGTTCTACCATTTCCTTGCTGATTTGACCTGGAATATATAATGTTTTGGGGGGGTTGATTTTGTTTTTTTGTTTTGTTTTGTTTAGAGAGGGAGGGGGGGGGCAGAGGGAGCAGGAGGAAGAGAATTGTAAGCAGGCTCCACACCCAGTGCAGAGCCTAACATAGGGCTCGATCTCACAACCCTGAGATGACGACCTGAGCTGAAATCAAGAGTTGGGTGCTTAGCTGGCTTAGCCACCCAGGCACCTTGGAATAAATAGTTTAACCTAAGACTCAGTTTTTGTTTCTAATGCTGGTAATTGTCATAAGAACCTCTCAGACGAGTTAATGAAGATTAAATAAGATAAAGTTTGTAAATTGTTTAGCACAGTAGCTGCCACCATGAATGAAAGTGATGCTGCTGATGATTGTTCTCATACTTTTTTATTTTCCTTAACAGAATATATTCAAGCAATGATTCTAGTGAATGAAGCAACCATAAGTAACAATTCCACATTGATAAAGGGTACGTGCATTTCTAATCCTAACCTTGAGTTTTCTGTTATTTTCTTGACTCGAAGCAGGCTTAATTGACTTAAGTATGTCAGATTACCTAAAGATAAGTTAAAGTGAAATGTAAGATCTAGGGCATCCGCGGTGGCCCTGCGGTTTAGTGCCACTTTCGGCCTGGGGTGTGATCCTGGGGACCGGGATCAGGTCCCACATCCGGCTCGCTGCATGGAGCCTGCTTCTCTCTCTGCCTGTGTCTCTGCCTCTCTCTGTGTCTGCCTCTCTCTGTGTCTGTCATGAATAAATGGGTAAGATTTAAAAAAAAAAAAAGTAAGATCTATATTGGCAAATTATATAAGTCAATTTCCCTATTAAATGAAAAGTCCTACCCATCCAGAGATAGGAAATGCACATTCTTCTGAATGTCCTAGGGAAAGAGTAAGCAAATGTATCTCTTCTTCAGAACATTCTAAGACTGCAAACTATTGTAAACCCACTTTGTGAGAAAAACAGTCCTACAAAGGTATATTCCAGCATAGATATAAGTTAGTGTAAGGATTTTATATTTCTAGATTTTTATTAGACCATTAGTCTTGCAAACTGTAAACAAATTCATTTTAGAAGGGATTGATCAAAGATAATATCCCAGAACTGAGAAAAGAAAAAGTTTTTTTTTATCAGAATCACTCTCCTATAAATCTTTGTGTCTAATTATCTAAAATCTTAAGAAAGTGCTTTACTGAATTTTAATTAATACTGCTAAATATTGTTAACAAATTAGAGTAATTTTAACTGCATAATTTGTAGGATTAAGGTTTTAAATCTCTGAAAATATAGCTAGCATCATCAGTCTATTTTTAAAAAAACTTTATGGTATTCAAAAGTATTCTCTATTTCAGTAGTTAATGTATAGTTTTAGAAGGGTGGATTCTTTAAGAAAACAGCTTTTGTCAGTATCTTTCAGTAGCACTTGGAATCAACATAGTCAAGAGATTACACTAGTTTTGCAAGAGGGGCTTTAAAATGTGGGAGGAGGTAAGAGGAAATAAGTGGGTTTTTTTTTTTTCTTTCTGAAACAAATTATTTCTTACTATATGAAAGTAAATTGGGTTTTGGTTTAGGGGTTTTGTAATGATTTCATATTTTTATATAGTTCATTTGAAATATGAATTTATCAAAATACAAGTATATGTTTGCCAATGTAGAGCAATATTTGTAACTAAGTAATTGGGGAGTTGTATAATTGATATTATTGGCAAATACAAGGATTAAGAACTTCCTAGGAATAAAATTTCATGTTAGTTTTTATTTTAAAAAGAATAGTGGGGAAAAAAAAAAGAATAGTGAGATTAGGAGAAACAAAAAGACTTGGTATCAAAACAAGCTATCCCAGATAGAACCTGGATTGCCCAAACCAGTAATTACCTTTATTTTCCTTGCTTGTGTATAACTCTTAAGTATGTGCTGTGTCCCCAAAGGATTGGATACTGTTTTCTTGAGAGGAATTATTATTTCCCCTTTCCTCCTTTATCTAATGATTAATTTTAAAATCTTTTTTTTGGGATCCCTGGGTGGCGCAGCGGTTTGGCGCCTGCCTTTGGCCCAGGGCGCAATCCTGGAGACCCGGGATCAAATCCCACATCGGGCTCCTGGTGCATGGAGCCTGCTTCTCCCTCTGCCTATGTCTCTGCCTCTCTCTCTCTCTCTGACTATCATAAATAAATAAATAAAATAAATAAAATAAAATAAAATAAAATAAAATAAAATAAAATAAAATAAAAATCTTTTTTTTTTCAGTAAGTCTTATTTCTAATTATGTTTATATATGTTTATTCATATTTGTTAGTTTGGTTTTATATGACTCATACAAAGAAATTAGGAAATATCAAATTCTTAACTTGTAAAACTTAATTTTTAATCCAGAATTACAGTCCTTATCAACTATCAGATTTTAAAGTTTTCTTTACCTTGATAATTAAAGAGGAATAATTATTTTCCAAGTAGCCAAATAGTGTTCTCTTTTTATAACTTAAGCTATTCTTTTATTTACTTAAACTTTTCTTTTTTTTTTTTTTTTTTTTTTTTTTTTAATTTATTTATTTATGATAGTCACAGAGAGAGAGAGAGAGGCAGAGACAGAGGCAGAGGGAGAAGCAGGCTCCATGCACCGGGAGCCCGACGTGGGATTCGATCCCGGATCTCCAGGATTGCGCCCTGGGCCAAAGGCAGGCGCGAAACCGCTGCGCCACCCAGGGATCCCTACTTAAACTTTTCAAACACTTTTTTTTCTGCACTGAAAGACAATTGCAAGTTAATGATCTAAGGCAGGATGAGAATCACTTTTTTTCTTAAAGTCCATTAGTGCATAGAAAAGAACACATTTAAAAAATACCTTTAGGGACACCTGAGTGGCTTAGTCAATTAAGCATCTGACTTTTGATTTTAGCTCAGGCCATCATCTCAGGTCATGAGGTTGAGCCCCGTGTCAGGCTCTACACAGGGTAAGGAGCCTGCTTAAGGTCCTCTCCTCCTCCCCCTGCCCTCGCCCCTCACATGCATGCTTTCCCTAAAAAACGAGGGTGGGGGAAGACATATGTGTGTATATATACACATATGTCTTTAAACCATAGAATATTCCATACATCCATTTTTCAAAATAAAAACAGGAAATCTGTATCTTTTCTCATTAAATACACAGTTTATTGTAGTCGTGTTAGTAAGACTAGGTGAGGGATCCCTGGGTGGCGCAGGGGTTTGGCGCCTGCCTTTGGCCCAGGGCGCGATCCTGGAGACCCAGGATCGAATCCCACGTCGGGCTCCCGGTGCATGGAGCCAGCTTCTCCCTCTGCCTGTGTCTCTGCCTCTCTCTCTCTCTGTATGACTATCATAAATAAAATAAAATAAAAAGATACATAAAGTTCTTTAAAAAAAAAAAAAGTAAGACTAGGTGACGCGGAAAAAGAAGAGACAAGACATGAGATAAAATTAAGCACAGAGAGATAGAATGAGTAATATGAAAAGTCAAATGGAAATATTAAAAGAGGTAACCAGATACGCCACCCTCCAAAAATGAAGGTAGCAGTTGAAAAATGAGAAAGTAAGAGATACATAAACTTTCCATTTTGTGACCTTTTAGCAAGAGTTATGTTATTTTTCTTTAAAATGCAAACAGATAAGGATAGTAAATGTTCACCTTAAAGTTGATTAAGGGGATCCCTGGGTGGCTCAGCAGTTTAGCGCCTGCCTTTGGCCCAGGGTGTGATTCTGGAGTCCCGGGATCAAGTCTCACATCAGACTCCCTGTAGGGAGCCTGCTTCTCTCTCTCATTAATAAATAAATAAAATTTATTTATAAAACGTTTAAAATAAATAAATAAATAAAGGTTGATTATAATTCAGATTAAGTTCAGGCCAAACTAGATTTTCTCTGATAGAAGTCTCTCTGTCCTAAGTCTTTTACTTTATTCTATCTTATTTTCTTAGTGTTTTTGAAAATATTGACACCTAATTTTTTGGCTTAATTTTAAAGTCTTACTATATTTGTAGATTGAAGGGCTCCAGATACCTCTAATCACTAAAGATATTATTTAGATATTACAGTAAATGATTTTTAACTTGGTATACTTGTTACTCAGATATTTGTATTTTTTTTCATGTAGATCATATATCTGTGACTCAGAATGAACAGGAAAATAAATCAGGTTCATTGCCCTCTACATCATATGAAGACTCCTTTCCAGAAGACTGTACATCTCTGTATGTATACAGGTTACATTTATTTGTTGTTAATACTTTTGCTACTAGGAAGAGATTTACTCTTTTTAATCATTTGATGTAAGAATAGATAGAATATATAAAAAATTTTTTCCCCATCCAAAGCTTTAAAAGTTGTAGATTTTATGTAGGATAAAGTTTCATACATATGTCATTTAACAAGCCGTTTACTTATTAATATCCCTAGGTAATCAAGTCTTTCAATAAAATTTAGTTTAAGATTTCTTTGTGTAGGGGATCCATGGGTGGCTCAGCAGTTTGGTGCCTGCCTTGGGCCCAGGGCGCAATCCTGGAGTCTGAGGATCAAGTGCCAATCAGGCTCCCTGCATGGAGCCTGCTTCTCCCTCTGCCTGTGTGTCTGCCTCTCTCTGTCTCTCTTTCTGTGTCTCTCATGAGTAAATAAAATCCTTAAAAAAAAAAAAGTTTTCTTTGTGTAGGGGTGCGTGGGTGGCTCATTCAATTGAGTATCCAACTCTTCATTTCAACTCAGGTCATGATCACATGGGTTGTGGAATCAGAATGTTGAGCTCTGCTCTCAGCGAGGAGTCCACTTGCAATTCTCTGTCTTCTTTTCATCTGCCCCTCCCTCCACTTGCATGTGGGTGCACTCTCTCAAATAAATAAACCTTTGAAAAAAAATTGTATAAATTAGTTAATATACTGAAATCTATCAAACTGGCAATTTAACTAAAAAATTATTTTTCCTTGATTATTTCTTTTATTTTTCATTATTTTTTAAAATTTTATTTTTTAAGTAATCTCTACACCCAATGTGGGGCTTGAACTTACACCCCTTGAGATTAAGAGTCGGATGCTGTACCAACTAAGCCAGCCAGGTACCCTTGGATTTAGAGTATTGGAAAGGTGTAAACAGTATTTCTTTCACTATCAGTTCAGCTTTTCAAATAGTTTAACAGCTCTAAATTAGTATCAGAAAGCTTATGAGAATAGGCTAATTTTTTCTGACCTTTTCTTTCTCCTTTTACCATTTCAGTACCATTTCGTAAAGATTCCTTAGCATAAAGTAAAATTGTATAAAAGGAAATATGACATTCTGACACATGGTCTTTAATTTTAGTAGGTAATACCATTACTAAAACTTTCAAGAACTAGTATAAAGGAAGTTTCTGAAAGTATTTTGAGCTAGGCCAAGGAACAGAATTTCAAAAACAAAAAGTTTCAAAAACAAAAAGTGTCTTTATAGAGGAAGTTTTTTTTTTTTTTTAAATCAATGCCCAGAAATCAGTGGCATTTCTTTTTTTTTTTTTTTAATTTTTTTTAATTTTTATTTATTTATGATAGAGAGAGAGAGAGGGGCACAGAGACACAGGCAGAGGGAGAAGCAGGCTCCATGCACCGGGAGCCCGACGTGGGATTCGATCCTGGGTCTCCAGGATCGCGCCCTGGGCCAAAGGCAGGCGCCAAACCGCTGCGCCACCCAGGGATCCCTTAGAGGAAGTTCTTATGTCAGTTGCCTTATTTTGTCTTTTCAGCAATACGTTGAAAAATTGTCAATATAGAATTCTACTTGTTTTATGAGAGTTTTAGATTGACCCTATTTTACATATGATTTGCATTTGCACATATTAGAGGTGTCATTACAGTTTGAGTCTAAATGAATCATAAAACATTACAATATTTTCAGAGAAATCTAGAAATTCTGGTCTTTTGATATATAACATAAAATTTCATTACCTTCTAAAAACAAATTTAATCATTTTAAATCACAAAATCACTTCAAATCACAAATATAAGGTTTCTTTTTTTTTTTAAATTTTTTTAAAGAGTTTTAATTTATTTATTCATGAGAGACACAGAAGGAGATAGAGGCAGAGACACAGGCAGAGGGAGAAGCAGGCTCCATGCAGGGAGCCCAATATGGGACTTGATCCCTGGTCTCCAGGATCACACCCTGGGCTAAAGGCGGTGCTAAACTGCTGAGCCACCAGGGCTCCCTATAAGATTCTTTTTAATGTAAATTACCACCAGTCTTCCATCTTCTATTTATTTTACTAAAAATTTTAAGCGTGCATGCAGAAGTGGATTTATTCTTAAGGATCTCTTTTTGTTTTTTTCATTTTCTAGCTTATCAGAATCTTTTTGAAAAGAATCTCCTTTTATATTTTCTTTCCCTTTTAGTTTTTCTTCTTCCACAATATATTAAGTGAGTTTTCTAGTCTTTAATATAGTCACTGAAAACGATATCGGATAGGACAGGACCAAAGATAAAACCCTTGCTGGCTCACTGTCCCTTCATTACTCTTCAGAAAGAATTGTTGGCCTAACTGAATTTATTTATCTCTACGATTATCCCACCTCCATTTCTCTATCTTAACTGACAAGACTATTAGAGGAAATCAAGATTCACTGAAATAGCATTCTATATCATTGCCAGACATTATCAAGCCTTGATTAAAAAGGAAAATCAGGGGCACCTGGGTGGCTCAGCCAGTAGGTGTCTGCCTCCTGACTATCAGGTCATGATCCTGGGGTCCTGTGATCCAGCCTGCATCTCCCTTCTCCTTTGCCTGCCTGCTTGTGTGTGTGCTCTCTGTTTGACAGAAGGCAGATGCTTAATCTGCTGAGCCACCCAGGCGCCCCACAATAAAAAAAATAAAATTAGTTTGTACTTTTCTTAATCCATTTTGGCTTTTCAAATTCTACGTACTTAAAAGTCACATGCTTGATTCTCTCTTCTAGAAATTGTTTTGAGATCATTTTTAAGCTAATCATTCTTTGCTGTCTGGAATGTTCCCTTTTTACCTATTTTTAAAAATCAGGGCAGCATTGACTCATTTTTTAATTCATATTAAGTTTTTTCAAGACCTTGAGATATAATTTGTTTGGGCCTAGAATTTTAAATATGTTTAAATGAACTGGCTTTGTAGGACTCCTTTTAAATTATCACAGACTTTAATTTCTTTATTTTTGTCTGGTCTTTGCAAGTTGGGGCAGTACTTACAGATGGAAAAGATGAAGGCACAATTGTTTTTGAGCTCTTCTTTCTGTTATCAGCCTTGTGCTGTCTTTCCCCTAACAAACTACTTGTTACAAACATAGCTTTAAAGTTTTTGTTGCTGTTTTACTAGCATTTTGGGGAACCTAAGTTCTTAGTAGGCTTGAACCTTTGTGAGACTTTCCTTATACGTTCACATCAAGATTTGTATTGATAATTGGTCTTCTTTTTTTCTTTTGTACATGTTCTTTTAAAAATCTGAGTTGAAATTAAATAAAATTTAAAAAAATAAAAAATCTGAGCTTCCCAAAGAAACTAGTTTCTCTAACTGCTTTCTCATCTCATTAGGATTATTTGTGATTACATAATCAGAATTTCATTTCCTTAGAACCTGTAACTCTTCTTGTGCTATATTTCCACTTAGAGGTTTTGTCTATGAGATCATACTTAACTTTGAGTTGAACTTCGTGAGGTCTTTTCAAATGTGAAAGGACATTTCTAATTAGCTCAGGGTTTTCTTTCTTTGCCATTAAGAATTTCAAGGCCATGTTTCATCCATGATCAAAATTGTGTTTAAATAATTCCTTTTGTTTTTTCCTATGTAGATCATTAGCTTATTACTTGTTTTGCTTTCAGTAATTAAACCTCTAGCAGGCCATTAGTTACATAGGCAGACAGGCAAACTTAATGGGGAATAACTTAAGCTAAGGATTCTCACTCCCAGCTGAATTGCTCAAGGTCATACAGTTTGTCAGTGCCAAAACCAGAGTGAAAATCTTAGGTCTAATAAAAAACTGGCCTTCTATATTTTACTCTACAGTTGAATTGAATTTCTTCTTATAATTGAGCTATGACAGGTAAATGTAAAAACAAAAATTCTGGTGATAATTAAAAGGTATCTATTTTTGTGATGTTAGGAAACCTGGCTTAATTCTTTTTCTTAGTCAGGTACTTTGGTGTGTCAGGAACACAAACCTACTTGAGCCAGTTTAAGTAGTAGAATTTATTAGAGATATGCCAGACATAGAGCTTTGACTAACATGGTAGAAGTAGGCTTGTTCCGCTGTGAAAGACAGAGATGTGAACTTAAGTCATTTGGCTTTTCACATGACATGCATACAAATACCCAAAGAGGTTTTTTAACTGGATGCACATGCAGACACACACACCCCTAATCTACACATACACACACATAAATAAAGTGAGCTGTCCAAGAACAGAAAACACAACACAGCATGTTATATAGGGACTAGAATTGAAACTGGGGAGTCAGTACCTGAGGTCAAGGTTGGCATTTTTTAGCTCTGCTTCTCTCCATCTGTTCTCAACTGGTTCTTCTGTTCCCACATAGCTGTCCCAGCTAAGCACTGTATGTATGACCTGCTAGTAGTGCTAGTGTCAGGTCATGGTATATTTTTTTACGTATTGATACAAATTCTTGAGAGAGACGATGAATAGCCCAGTGTGAATACATGACCCAATAGCTTTGAGTACAGTGAAATTAAAAGGGCCACCTTTTAGAAGAGGATGTCCAAAGAAAGGACTGAGCAGAAAACAAATGTATCTTATAGTCTTTAAGATAAATGTAGTTTACATAGGTTTTTTTTTTTTTTTTTTTTTTTTTTTAAATATGCTCCTTCAGTGGCCATCAAGGATAGAATGACTTTTTACCTCAGGCTTGCCAAAAGCTAGGGAGTTTGTTGACAAGTCCCTGGGGCCTTGTAGCTTAAGGTGTCTAATAACAAAACGGTTCTCAATCCACATCCAAACTGAGCATTCCTTATCCAGAACCTAGCAAACAGGCGCAGACAATACCATACTTACCTACTTATCCTTTGTTTACCTCCAGTGTTTTCCTGTTTGGGGGGAGGGGGTGAGGCTGTCTATAACTAGGTTCACAACACTATAGGATTGGGTCTTTTAATTTTTGTTTTTGTTTTTTTCTAGTAATGTATCTTTATATGTATAAGAAAGTTAACCTTTCTCCCCATAAAATGGGATTGAGCTGGTTACTTTACTTCTGGAG